CAACAAAACGTCTAATAAGTTATTTATTATCCAACACGCCAAATTGTTATTTCAGTGCGGGTGAATTTCGCGGATATTTACTTATGGGGAGTACGTAACAAAGTACGCGAAGCGGAACGGAATTGGCTCGTCGTCGTGTTGCTGTTTCTATTTTCTTCAATAAATGAAGAAATTTCCAGGTTCGTTCGATTCATCTAAAAAACTTCGATCTATAATTGCCAAACATTCCTACTCTTCGTCGTCAGAACTATGATTCAAATTGTCCGCCAGTTTTTTTTCGCAACTTCAATCCAATTCTCGCTTGCGCGATGCGAGAAAACCTGTCTAACCGGTTCCTTGGAGTAAAAATACCGCGTGAAATTTGTACTCTTCTATGGCGTTGTTCTGTACTCTACGGAGTGTAGTTGTTAATAATACCGTATATCCTTAAATAAACGCCCACACTCTAATCATTTTATATATTTCGTATTTATTGGTAATGCTGTGGGAGTTTACAAAGTTCGTTTTTTGCTGCGCAGCGAGCCTAACGAGCGAGTAGCAACATATTCAGGATTTAAGAAGAAGGAGGGTTTGAATTCTCGAGTTCATCACTTTTTACCAGAATGCATAGCATTTAACCAGATTGCACCGCGCCAAATTTGTTGTGTTTAGTGTATTGCGTTTCATAGCGTTACTACTGTAAGGACATTTCCTATATGTACTCAATCGTCTTGTAAATCTACTTTACTAACTTATCGTGAGTATTGCATGGTATATCTACAATCTTGATCACTGGATGAAGGACAGTTGAACTAGGAGAAGTCACCTTGCGTAAATTGACACACCGGTAAGCCATATGGCAAAAGAGATGTTGACAGACCTGTGCAACTACTCCGATTCGCTAGCGCTTCTAAATCTTCTGCCTTCAAAGTTAAGCTCTCGTTAGGATATCTCTTAATGACTTTCCTTTGCGATGTGATAGTAGGGGTCGGTTTTAAGATGTCATTTCCTCATCTGTATGTTCTTGAGTTTTGGCTAGCACTTTTCTTCTGTGCTCGCGCTATTTTCTTTGCTTTCAAGTATGCTTATTCTCCCGCAGAAAATAACCCCAGAGATACGTTTTTTCAAAACCTCCATCTAGGTATGCTCCATTGATTACCACCCTCCCTCCCCCCTCAAATAGAGAAAAATTTCCACTTCGTCTTGGTATGTAGTCAATGAACGAACTAAACCNGTACCCGCAATATCTGTGCTATTTTTCTCTGTAGTTGACGCAGTGTATTGATGGCTTTAATCTTTTATTACAAAGATATGGTATAAAAGGTAACGGTGCAAAGAACCCAGCAATTCTCACCTTTTTCGTTGTTACGGATAGAACCCAGTTAAATGCAACGCATGCGTAGTGAGTAAAAAAATTGCGATTGAATGGAAAATTGCTTTCTCGTAAATACGCCTATTTCTCGGGAACCACTCATTAGAATTTCACAAAATTTGGCACGAAAATACTTTAGGAAATAAGTAATTGGAGTGTTGAAAAAAATTGAACTCTAACAAAGGTAAATCCAGTGAACCTTCAACAAGGGATAGTTAAATATCTCTCTGTTAAATCATTAGCAAAATGGTGTTAACTTGTGATTATCGTTACAAGCTAATTGCATGCAAATTATAAAGAAAATCTAATGATTAGATTTTCTACAAATAAACAAAATCGCATTAAATTMSCRMMTT